TGCTTCTGTTGTTGTTGCTGCTTCTGTTGTTGCTGTCATTGCTGCTGTGGTTGTCGCTGTTGTTGCTGTTACTTTTGCTATTGCTGTAGCTGTTACTTTTGCTGTTGCTATTGCTGTTGCTACTGTTGTTGCTGCTGCAATTGCCATTTCTCTAGTTATTTTTTTATTGTTATTGTTGCTTGTCGTTTCTGCCCAGTTTGCAATTATTGACTTAACTCTCATCATGATGATCATCACCTTAACCATATAAAATTATCCATCTTATATTACCACCTCCCACAAATATGTAATCTAACTCTTTCTTTTTATACTTTCTCCACAATTCCTATTGAGCCCCAAAGAAAAACTCCCCAGAAGAAAGAAAAATAAAACCTCTGGGACCAGGTTTCTTAAAATCTTCATCATTCCAACAAAAAAAGCATTTTCTCATTCAGTAAATTCAAAGTATTATCCCTTCTCGAGTCGGGAACCCAAGGATAAAATTCTATCGCTTGTCTATGAGTATTATTTTACATTGGTTAGAAGAAGTCCAACCTGACGTGACTCTTGTTCGTATGTCAACACCGCTAATTAGCACAAAACTCCTTGTCAAGCTCTCTGTCAAGGCTGTATGATAGCTATCTAAAAAGTACCAACGAGTTTGTTCAAACAACACTGTACTGATGCTTTCAAGCTTATCATTCAATATTTGAAAACATTGGCAGTTTTACGGATTTACTAGGTTCTCGCTTGGTCGAAATTTTGAAAACAGATTGCGTTCCTATCAATTGTCACGAAGTGGTATACTTATTTTCATGTAAAAAATCTATTTTTTTCTTTCTTCTTACACTCGTAATATTCCAACCTTTTCTTCTGCTAATATTTCATTCCCATAGATACAATGCTAAAAACCACTAATATTGCAAGATTTGGATTTATTGATTTTCATTGGAGTTTCTTAACTTTTGAAAGCCTTCGTTACACGGTTTTGAGGTCATCATTTTAGATATTTAATCCCTGAACTTAACAATGTCAATACCTATGTTGACACTAATAGCGTACTCTCTCGAAGAATTCCAGGCATTTATAAATCCCATACGGTATCTCTTAACATCGCGTTTACCAATACATCCATAACCATTCGACTGGAATCCAAGAGAGTTATCGGGTTGAAAAGCTTGTTCAATATAAAAGGATCTCGTGATTTCGCGCTAATGAAATTGGGCGTCTTTTAAGGTAAGACCATCGTTTCAAGAGGTTTACAAACTTTGACTACATTATCGTAGTCTTTGAAGTGGTATTAGGCGCTTTGAAGTCTTCACTGATACACGATATTTCGATACCTCTACGGGAAGAAGGATTTCGACTTTATTTTGAACTATAACCTCTTCGCAAATTGCATTGAAAAGGGTTGTTCTTGAGAGAAACAACACGGTTGTAAGTAAGCCAAACAATATTGCTGAAAGATCTAGCTTGGAGGGTAAATATGTTTCTCATAGGTCTTCAAGTTCATATGCAGTTCTTAAGGTCAAAATACTATTTTAACGCTCTGAAAACATTCCTCTTATACCCAAAATATCATTCAAACATTACTCTAGAAATAAGATTATTATTTTCTCATTTCCAACGAAATAAATGTATTTTTTAAGTCAAAAAGAACTTTTTAGCTCACTAGGAATTATTCATTCAGTGTTGAATATTATCGAGTTTTACCGAAGTTGATTAATTTTCCAGAAGACGAGTCCCAAAATTTTATAGCTTTTCATTGTTCTTAACGTTATTTCTCCCTGATAATACGCTTCATAATATAATCAATTAATTAAAGCGACGAGCACTATATGTAGTTATTGTCATAATTCTACGAGATAAGCGGGGTTATCGATTAGATTATTCTCCTCATCTGTAGCGCTGTACTTGGTTTCTGGTATCGATTTACGATTATTTCCCGCTGCGTGGAAAACGTTTTAGCCAAGTTTGGTTATGGGGTCCACACAAACAGTGAAAAAAACCGTGAAAATTGGCTGAATTTTGGAGCAGAATTACCAATAGCCAGGAGAGGAGAGAGTAACCTTTCATGATGTTGCTTTTCTTTCTTCAACTCAACGATGTTTTTTTCTCAAACCATTTTTTATGAGTGAACAGTAGATATTTCATATCGAAAGATAGCTGAAAATAATAGAAATCTTTTAGGACAGAAATTCTCTTTAAAACAACATGTTTTGTTAGAGTTTTTACCAGTTTTTGTGCTTTCCAAAATTATTTTCTATTTCAAAAAAAAATGTTATTTCACTTTTTATAATGTAGGACTCGAGAGCAGCCACTATTCTGGACTACCTGTGTCTTTGTATTTAAAAAAATCTCGTTTTTTGAAGCTTTTGATAAGGTCAGCTTTTGTCCGCTCGAAAGATTTCTTATTATCAACCAATATCTTTATTAATTATCCTAGATTACATTATTTGGGAGGTCATGGTATTAATTCATTAAATCCCATTAATCTTCAATTGTTTCCTGATTCTTTTAAATGGTGTTTGACAGGCTTTGATTTGAATGATAAATCACCATCCAAGTCTTTTATTAATATATTGAGCTGAATTAAAGTCACGATCTTTCGCCTGCCGGAATATTTTTTTTTTCCAACGAGAAAAACAAAAAAGTTTTCAAACAACATACTAAAATTCTAGTCCGTAATTCCATATGTCCATTCAGAAATATTTGATTGCCTTACGTTTCCTTTATTAACCTTACTAGAGTACGTGGACACTATTTGCCTATTAAGCATGTCTAAGCCTTTACGTAGGTTTTCCCACGGCCTTTCTCGAGGCAACCGTGCGTCAGAGCAACACATAGCGTTTCTTGCTTCTGGGTTTCCTGTGGCTTGTAACGGAGTGACCGCTTAATTTTACACACCATTTTTTTGGGTAGCTCTGAGGCTTAATTTTTAGCCAGTACTAATACTGAATTTGCACTTCCTTATACCTAACTGTTTTCCCTCCTCCTTCTAAGAATTTTGTGTTTTTTTCCTCCAGCTTTTGAATGCCCTTCAAACACTGATGACTGACTTCAAGGGGACCCCCGAAGAGGCCTTATTGCAATGGTGCCGACAATCGACAAAAGAGTGAGTTCTAGAAGATTAGCACGTGCTTTGGACCATACTGCTTTGCTGTCTCACAACTTACGTCATGTAATTTTTGTTTCTTCGTTTAGTTACGCTGGAGTGAAGATCAGTAACTTCACCACTAGCTGGAAAGATGGTCTTGCCTTCAATGCGCTTATTCACCGATACAGGTAACCTAGCAACATACAAATTCGCGCCAAAACATACTGGGCTACACATCTCAAACATTCTTGATTCCCATTCAAAATGTAAATAGAAAACCCTGCTAGAAAACAATTACTAGAGCATTCCTCCCGAAGAGTTTCCGAAGATTGGCCGAGAAATGGCGATTATATCCGAAGTTGACTCCCATATGGGACAGCTAAGTCATACCGTCCATAATGTGATCAAACAATTAAAACAGCGTTATACGCTTTGTAAATATTGAATCCACTGCCTACGCGGAACCTAAAGATAACCGCTGACCCCGAAAGCAGTCTCCAAACTATTTCTACACAGCGCGTGCGCAAATGTATGACCGCTGACAGCAAACTTGGTTATTTTTTTTCAGACCTGATATCGTGAAATATGACTCGCTGGTGGGAAAGAGTGGCACTTATAACTGTGAAAATGCTTTCAATATCGCTCGAGACCAGCTGGGTGTGGATAGGCTGCTTGACCCAGAAGGTGAGTATTAATGGACCCCAGTAACAGTGATAACACCCATTGATCGAGTGAAACTTTCTTGGGCAGAAAGCGTTACCGTATGACTCGTAAAATCACAGAAACTAGTTTTACTGCGTAATAGCGCCTTCAGAGATTACTTTTGATCTTTGGATTGCGTTACAGATGTCGTGCGTGACAAGTAGTACGACATTTGTTTTTATTAACAGAAATAATTAGGGCGCGAGGGACTCTGGTTATAATAGTATAAATCTTAAATTCTGGATTGCGTTACAGATGTGGTGCGTGACAGGCCAGACAAGAAGTCCATCATGATGTATGTAGCTATGCTGTACAGCAAGCTGTCACCTAATGCTGGACTCAGCTCCTCGGGAACAGTTAGTGTCAGGGACTCCAATGGAATCCTCTCGACACATGATCCTTACCAGCGAACTGCTCTCTCTTCTACCACCTCAACGTCACGCACGGTGCAGAGAACCCAAGTGTCCTCCTCTGTCAAGAGAACAGGTAGGTCACGCGTCCATCACCGTGACAACAAGTAACTATCGTATAAATGACCTTACTCTCGCGGCAGTGATGTTTATTCTCATGAGAATAAAAACCTTTGTTTCCCGAGCATAAATTAATTCTCAAGCACTTAAATTCGAGGCTAGGCGTGGTGGAATCTATTGTTCAGACCAACATGGCTGCCGCGTGAGGAAAGCCCATTCGCATATTGGAAATTGAGAGAATGACCGGTAACGAATTAGGATTGTGACCGCATAGGATTGTGGGATAGTTTAAGTAGCAGGTTAACACGTGACTTGATGATACAAGACGCATGCGCATCGAGCATTATTTTAATTTTTATCCGTATTTTTCAGTGACTTCCTCATACTCCGCAAGCAGTTCTGAACAGAAGAAGATCAAATCAGGGTCTTCAACGCCAAATGGCGGTCAGACGTATATAACCTCCATGGAATCCTCGCATATCAGAGAAAAACCTGTCCAACAAACAACTACCACTGTCGTACGTATTTATCTGTGTTACTGCGCGCGGTCTTTCTGTGGTTCAGTCTGGCAGTGAAGGACTGGGAAGAGAATTCTTAAATCTAAAAGTCCTTTGGCTCTGTAATAGAAAGAATGCTGCTATTACGTTTGGTTCATTTGTGCGGCTCATTTTTTCAATCACTCACAGTTTTTCATCTTTTTGTTTTGCCAGGTCGAGCACGTTCTTGAACGCAGACCCGACTCATTCTACGACTCGGACAGCATTCGTAATTCTGTCGGTTCGTTTCGGGATTCCGAATCCAATCGAGACTCAATGGGAGAGCGCGACTGGGAGGACTACAGTAGCCAGCTTAAAGAAGTCCTGTCTTGGCTGTCCAAAGCCGAGGCGAAGTTGAAGTCCCAACCTATAGTGTCGAGAAATGTTGACATTGTGAAAGACCAGTTCCACGAGCATGAAGTACGTATACGTAGACGCAGCAATATATGGGCATTTTGGGGGTTCAACAAACAAGGTGCATTCTGGTCTAGCTTGGGTGCAAAAAACTTTATGTAAGGCATGATGAACGAAAGATGTTTGTACCCAAGCTAGAGCATGTAGACCTATGCGGGCGCTCAAGGATGGAGGCAAAGAAATTTTAAAGTTGCTTAAACAATACCGCAAGTACGAGTTTTTGGAGCACTCTGGAAATGCGCTTCTTCGTGTCTTTTAGAGCAGATTGGCATGACTTTAAGTCGACACGGCATCCTGTCAACTAATTACAGCGCACAAGATTATTTATCACCCAAGTGAAAAGGTCGGACACGGTGCCGTGACAATAACAGCACTTCAAAGTCAAACGAATTGTGCTGTTACACAGGGACAACTATTTGCGTGATCTGTCACATGCTTTCATTTTATCTTCCTCCACAAAAATTTATGATGGAGCTGACTTCGCACCAGAAAAAAGTTTTCTTGCGTGACCATCATTTTCTTGCATGACCATCATTTTCTTGCGTGACCTTCTTTTATCTTCTCTTCCTCCCCAGGATTTCATGATGGAGTTGACTTCACACCAGACCAGCGTGGGAGGCGTACTAGAGTATGGAAACCAACTGATAAGCGAAGGCTTGGTCAGTGAAAAGGAAGAGAATGATATTCGTGACCAGATGATCACATTGAACGAACGATGGGAGGCGTTAAGAATCTCTGCTATGGAAAGACAAACCTCGTAAGATACACCTAATTCAAAAAGCGTCGGTCTGAGATCTAAAATTTCATTACTTATTTTCTTCTGTACTATACAAGTATATTTAATAGTCCCCTTCACAGTTCCCTGCGCCATCTTAAGAGGTAGCTGGGCCTTTGCATCGAAGCGAGACGAACGGTGAGCATGCAATGATAGAGACCTTTTTTAACACCTTGGACAATTATTCGCATGTCTCTATCATTGCAAGCTCACCGTTCGTCTCGCTTCGATGCAAAGGCACTGCTCCCTTTCAAGATGGCGCAGGGAACTGTGAAGGGGACTATTGCTGTTATTATGGTTCATGCAGATGAAATGCAAATAACTCGTAATGCATTGTATCGACCCGATAGCCTCGCTTGAATGATCCTAAGAACAAAAGGTTTTTCTCGACTGTAATAACAGCTATTGGATAGCTAATTGTGTAGATCAGTCCTGGGCTGTTACAACTAGCACGTGCCCTAAAATAACAAACATTATATTTAAAATCTTTTATTAATCTTTTATTTTAAAAAATAACACTAATTGAATAAAAAAATTCAACGGTCGAAAGATACCTTTCCCATTTTCATTTTTCCCATTTTCATTTTTCCCATTTTCATTTTCCCCGATTTAATTTTTCCCGTTTATTCAAATCCCAGGCTTCATGAAAATCTAATAAATCCCAGTTAATTTGATCTTATGTCGCTTGCTTTTTATTTTTTAAATTCAATTTCTTTCATTTTGCAATTTCACTTATCTCCCATTTTCCCATTTCCTTCCCATTCATCTTTTTCGACTTTCATCCATCTCAGGCTTCATGAAAATCTTATGAAACTCCAGCAACACCAAATCGATCAACTGGCCAACTGGTTAAGCAAAGCTGAAGCAAGAATCGAAGCCGTCAATGACATTGGTAACGATATAGACACTGTAAAGAGGAAGGTTGAGGAACACAAGGTGAGTTCGTCCATTACCGTGTTTCCCAATTACACTATAAGCATAAAATGTGCTGTCGCGACTAAAGGCGCGAGTACAGGAGCAATTTTCTCTGCACCTTCTCTCGCAACGTCGTTGCGACACAAGTTGCATGGAGCATTGCAACGTGTAACCTACAGCGCAATTTGAAAAATGTTGCGAGTCAAGCTGCAGCAATTGTTGCGAAAAGTAGACTCGTTTCTACTTTTGGCAATTATTGCGTCTCCATTGCACCTTTTAATCACTTTTCCAAATTGTATTGCAACGCTGTTGCGAGATAAATTGCAGAGAAAATTGCTCCGAGTAATTGGTGGTATTGGTTGCATTTACCGTTTCTACGCTTTCTTTCCAGGTTTTCCAGGAAGATCTTGAGAACCAGCAGAAGAAAGTGAACTCCTTGACACACATGGTAGTGGTTGTCGATGATAGCGCGGGAGAAAACACTACCGCTGAACTGGAAGAACAGCTGGCTCAGCTTGGGGAGCGATGGTCGTCTGTCTGCAAGTGGACCGAACAGAGGTGATTACGATTTTACCCACTTATATCACACCTTACTAGTCTCAAGAATTAATCGTCTCTTCTCCAATGCGCATAACATTAGGCAATGTGAAGGGAGGCCTAGGAAACCTAGTAGGCCCCGAATACGCCCTGTTTAGTACTTGTATTTAGTATTATTCTTGCTCCTTCAAGGTGGACTGTGTTGCAAGATGTCCTGGCTAACTGGCAGGAGTATCGTGACGAAGAAAGACGACTTTCTAAATGGTTGTTGGAGAAAGAAAACCAGATTAGTAGTCTAAAGCACATTGACTTGAACGACCCAGATTCAATCAAGTACAACCTTCAACGTTTAATAGTATGTCTTGATACAAAGATTCTAGAGGGAATCCCCTTTTGCTACAATTTGTTCAATTGGGGATTCCCTTATTCCAAGTTGATAGGATCTCCTTAACACACGGTTACTGCATGTCAAGGGAATCCCCTTTTGCTGCAATTTGTTCAGTTGGGGATTCCCTTACTCCAAGTTGATAGGATCTCCTTAACACTAGATTACTGCATGGCAAGGGAATCCCCTTTTGCTGCAATTTATTCAGTTGGGGATTCCCTTACTCCAAGTTGATAGAATCTCCTTAACACTCAATTACTGCATTTCAAGGATTCCCTTCTTGGAGGAGCGATCAGAAGATGTGTATGCCAAGAGATTATTAGAGGAATCTCATTATGATAGCGGGTGGAAGTAAAGAAAGTTCCCGATCCAGTGAAGACTCGATTAGAGAGTAACAAGGGAGTCTCCCACGGGAATCCCCCTTCCGGTAGAAATTGAGGAATTTCGAAAATGTTATCTCAATGAATCTAAACGATCTAATACAATTTTTTTTTTWAATCTCAGAGTCTCGAACAAGAATTGGAAGCACAACAAGCAACTTTCGGTACGTTCAACTTGGCGGCAGAACGTGTTGCGGAACATATGGAAGAAGAATCGCCTGGAGTGGACGCCATTCAGGATAGGATGGAAGAATTCAATGATCAGTGGAATGCCATCACTACGGATGTGTCCAATAGAATCGCGCTGGTAAGCCATTTGACTGCTTTGTATGGTTGCGCTTGGAAGGGGAGGGGAGGGGAAGGAAAGATTGTCACTTGGACGCCCTTGATTCACAAAGGAACAGTTTGTGTTTTATGCTCCCTACGGCTAACCATTTTCCTCATCATTCATTCTTTCAGCTCAAAGTAGGGGAGGGGAGGGAAGTGAGAGATTGTCAATTGGACACCCTTGATTTCCAAAGAAACAGTTTGTGTTTTATATTCGCTACGGCTAACCATTTTCCTCATCATTCATTCTTTCATCTCAAAGGAGGGGAGGGAAGTGAAAGATTGTCACTTGGATACCCTTGATTCCCAATGAAACAGTTTGTGTTTTATACTCCTTACGGCTAACCATTTTCCTCATCATTCATTATTTCAGCTCAAAGGAGGGGAGGGGAGGGAAAGATTGTCACTTGGATACCCTTGATTCCCAAAGAAAATGTTTTTTGTTTTATTGTCCCTGCTTCCTTTTCTCTTTCAGCTTAAAGGCCTAGAATCTAAAATGCAACCCTTCCAGTCAGAAATCGACGAGAAGACGTTCTGGTTGAACGAGACAGAGGCGACCCTGAAATCACCGAGGATGAATTTTGATAACGACAAGATGTCAAGTGATGAACTATCTCGACAGTACATCACTATCGAGGTATTGTCATCTATTCACTTATTGCGCCTAGTAAAGTAGACTTTGTATGACTATGTCACGGCATGGCGCGCGACACGGTCACGGTACGGAGTTGACGATGTCCCGTGAGCCAATCACAGCGCGCGAAATTACTGTACATCAAATCAAAATGCTCAGTTATTATACCGTCATGGTCACACTCTAACTCTCAGAGACCACATGCAGACCATAATCTTAGACCACAGATTCAACCTGTTGTTGAAATCTGGTAAAAACCATAATCTCTCGAATCATCAAGCGTTATATGACAATACATTGTTCTTGAGCCTCAACCCATCGCTGTTAAGCTTTTTTCGACTTTTCACATAGATTTTAGCACACCTTCTTGGTTTGATCAACAACCTGGAATGTGTAGTTCTAAAAATTATCCATACCCCCCTCACGGAGGAATTTTTTTAAGACACCCCCTACCCCCCCGAAATTCCAATTTTCTTCCATACAAACTCTGTGATTTTTGTTCTTCCTCTGACCCCCCTACTCTTCGGAAATTCCAAATTCCTCTGTGGGGTGGGTGTGGATGATTTCTGGAACTACACAAAATATATTTCTCGAAAGCGAATATCTAACTCTGAGTTCATAATATTAAAGAAATTATTGTTTTTTCTCCTTAGGCTCTCGAAAACGCTAAAACTCAACGCAAACCAAGCGTGCTGGCCATCCAGAAGAAAGGTGAAGAAATCATGGATCAGATCCGTGCACAAGGAACCATACCAGTTACTTTTGAACACAAATTCAAAACCTTCATTGAACGATGGGAGGCCGTCAGTAAGTTGATTGATGAGAAAAAACACAAGGCGTCCCTGGCCAGGCAGAGAAGGGATGTGGTGGACCTGAGTACTAAAGTTGAAACTGTGGTGAAGGAAGTGGAGAGGTTTTTCGATAGGCTTGGTGGAGTGCCTGATAATGAGTATGAAATCAAGGCACAGATTGACCAGTGCAAGGTAATTACTCGCCTTCTGTTCCTTTTATTGTCTTTCTCTCTTCCAACTTTTCATTTTTTTTCTTCCATTTTTTTCTTCCCACTTTTCACCTTTTTTCTTTCAACTTTTCACCTTTTTTCTTCCCACTTTTTCACCTTTTTTCTTCCCACTTTTTTTCTTGTTCTCTTTCTGCTTTGCTGTTTTTAGTTTTTCTTTCTTCGTGTTTTCGCTATAATCCCTATTTCACTCTTCCTCGTATTTTTTTCTACCATATTCTTCTTTTTTGACATTCTCTTTTTCCTCTCATTCTTTCTCTTTCTTTCTCTTTTATATTCGCCTTTACTTCAACATTATCTTATATTTCATCATTTTACATTAGTGCCTATACCACCGAATTCAATATTTTCAGTATTGATTCTACATAAAATGAATATTAAATGAAAAATAGAAATTTGAAAATATGGTAAAAAAATTCATATGATTTGAGTGATGCATCTTGAGATGTTAAGGTTTATATTTCCAATATATTAATGAGTATGATGTCATTATAGGAATTTGAGTTTGCTTCTCATCGTTTTTAAATTTCAACACTGATTACTATGAGAAAACAAATTTGCTATTCATTTTCTATAAACCCTGAGTAAGACAATGATGTCATATACAGGATATTTTGCTGTCCCAGAAAAGTTTTGTATATTTAATCATGCCTATAATGACATCACACTCATTAGTATATTGGAAGTATAAACCTTGATGTCTTCAAGATGCATCACTCAAATCATATGAAATTATTTTACCATTCAAATATTCACTCTATGTATAATCAATACTGAAAATATTGAAGTATTTTTAGTCATTATTAGATATCTTTCTAAACGACTTAAATTCCTCTTAAATATCTATTATAGAACAAACGTGACGACCTCTACAGTAACGAACGCCACCTCATCAAACTCAAAGACCTCTCCAGCAAGCTTTCCAAAGAAGACAGACAGACACCCATCTTCCAAATGTCTGTCAAGAGAATGGACGAGCGCTGGACAAGCGTCCTGTCGAAACTCGACGACCGTGAAAGACGGCTGACTTCAACCTTGGAATCAGGTCCTCCCAAGGAATACTTGAACACAATGGATACTGTTCTGATTAGTATAAAGGCGGTTGAAACCAAGTTGGGTGGAGATTTTCAGATCACTGAAGTCGACTCTTTGGAAGACGAAATACAAAAGTACAAGGTAGATAGAAAGATAAACTTTATTTTAGCAGCCCAAGGCTCAGGTTAAACGTCGAACTTCACATGAGCCGAACCTAATTGAAACAATGAACATGAATAACGTTTGACCTTAAGCTAACTCATTGAGAAACGAGTGATACAATCTTCCCTCCCCCTCTAAAAGTAGTGTTGTATTCATTTATAAATCAAATTTATAGATCAATTTCTTTGTACGACAGAGAGAATGAGAGAGGTATTAAACCCGATACCCCAGAGATGAGAGACGAGAATACCGTACCTTCCCTCTTCTGAATCCGCCCTTAAGACTCGCACAATAACTTATCCCCTGAGCTCCTCAGTGAACATTAATTTGGATATCGTTTCAAAGGTTTTTCTGTGGAATTTATTCTTTATTTCAGCAAGCGCAGACAATGCTACAGGAACAGAAGAAAAACATAGATTACCTGAACACCGCCGGGGAAAAATTTATGAAGGCACTACCTCGTCAGAAACTCGAGCAACTCCGCCTTAAACTAAATGACGTGAATAACAAATGGAAGGATGTCTCAACGGTCATTGAAAGACGTCAGACGCAGGCACAGAAGGGAATCAACCAGAACAAGCAGTTTGGTGATGAACTGAAAGAGCTGAATAAATGGATGGCGGACGTGGGAGGGTTCCTTAAGGACCAGGAGCCCGCTGCTGGGGACCCCGATACCCTTGAAGCACAGCTCGATCAGAGCGAGGTATGGTTGTATGAATACTCTATATTCTCTTTTGAGAGCTCAGTGGGAGACTGGTACGAATTTGGTCTGCATTGGATTTTGGGTAATGTGGATCAAGAAAACACCACATTTTTGGGCTCCCCTGCTCATTCGGCTTTTTACCTAGGACGTAATGTTTTCCCATTTATAGGACCACATGTCATTCCCTAGATTATCATTTTTTGCTTAACTGTTGCACAGGAGAAGACACATGAATATGGTTCTAACTCAAAGAAAGAATCTTATTAGCCATCACGGTTGTAGGAAACACTGGGTCACGTTGCCATTGCAGTGTATTGTGGGACTGTGTAAGGGAACAAAATAGATGCCATCTATCCTATCATCTATCTAATCTGTCCTCTCAAACATCTCCACAATGCACTGCAATGGCAACTAGACCCAGTTTTTCCCCACAACCTCGGAATGACTAATTCTTTAGAGAAAGACACTTTGAAAATGGGAAAACATTTTGCCGAAGCCAAAATGTCTATGTACAGACTAATGATTGCTTCTTGGATTCTCCAGGCCCTTCAAAGCGACATCACCAAACTACAACGAAAACTCGACTCCCTCAACGAAACAGGCACCTACATGCTGACCAAAGCGACCCCGGCGTACGCGCAGAAGGTGCGTGATCAACTAGATGACGTGACAATCCGATGGGACACGTTAGTGCGTCACGCAGGTCGGGTTAAAGATAACCTCCTCGCCGCACTGGAGAAGTACCAAAAACTTAACCATGACATGAAGGAGATGAGTCATTGGATCATGCAGACAGAGCGGTCTATCGCTGATGATGATAGGGATATTGCTGCTGGGGAGATTACGAGAGAGAAAATGGATCACTATAAGGTTTGTCGCTTTACTGAGATAATTGTAGAACTATGTATACACCTAATTGAAAAAATGTAGTCGGGTTCGAGAAGGTCATATCATCGAAGCTAAGAAGGATTTTGGGTACTCCGAAATGTGTATTATATTTGCTTATAGACATGTAAAAATTCACAGTAGAGCAAAGTCGGTCGACCTAGATTAACAACATGCCAAAGCCATGATGCATAAAATGCGCACAGGAAGGGAAAGGTGCAATAAGCATGAAATTAGCATAATTGTTTGTCTTCACATGCTCCCCTTCGGTCTTAGCTTTGATGATATAACCTTTTTTTGAACCCGCCAACGTTTTTTTTTCCGATTATGTGTATCTATGAATCAATCAATAGCTATGTAGAGTTAAATAACAAATTAGTTTTAGAAATATGTATATCTATGAATATCTACTCGATGATTGGTTATCTAGCTTCAAGGACTACAATTAGATTAATCAGTTTGCATACTAACCAGGACCCTTTGAAACAAAACGTAAGATAAAAAAGACTTAAGCCAATCAGGAGATAGCAAAATCAAAATGTTATAAAAAGACAGAGAAATCATATAACAAGACTTTACTGAGATATGTGGGCTTTTATCAATCATTCATGATTCCGACTCCCCTTAGTTACCGTTGTAATGTCCCACAAGCTCAACAAATTAGCTAGAGTATCTCAGAATATAAAACTCTGATCGCGGAAAATAAATCACAAATTGCTTCAATTGTTTCATGTCCTGAGAAAAGAAAAGAAAATTGTCTCGTAATCCTTGTAGTACTTATTAAAACAAATACTGTGTAGTTGTTTGTGGGACAAGATTTTAATTCCACTGGGAAAACTACTGCACGGTGATTGGTTCGCTATTGTCTGAGTTGCAACCATACATTGTCTAATTGTCATCAGGATATGTACAGCGCTTTCCATTCACACGCGCGAAATCGTACAATTTTTTTCGCGATAAACTTGGTTTTGGTGGATGTCACTCAAGTTGTCTTCACAACGTTCCATAGGCGCATGCTATTAAAATATTTGTATTTTCCCTTCCCTCTCTAAGATTGTTTTTGCGCCGTCTCCATGGCAACTTGGCTAATTTATTGCTATTCTGATTTGTTCAACAGGAGCTACAGCAAGATGTTTCCAAGAGAGCCCCAGTGGTGGTACGCATCAACACCACAGCCAATCAGCTGGCAGATCACACCAAGCAGGGATCCGCCAAACCTCTTGTGGAAAATCTTAAGAAGCTTAACAGTGATTGGTCGAGGCTTAAGAACAAGGTATAATTAGCAAAAGGTTGATTATTGGTCAGAAAGGGTTTGTTTTCACTAGATTTCAGCAACATCTTTGCTTTATCAGTTTATACACCGATACCGGAAATATGGCGACCAATTTGAATAACTATTGTTCTGCTGTGACTAGAGACTGACTAGCCTCGTTTTCACGTAGAAACACATGTATGAAAGGCTAGTCAGTCGCTAGTCAGTACAGAACAATAGTTATTCTTATAATACACTCTACAAAATTACTCAATTCTGATTGGAGAAGAGGAGTACAATTAAATCCCAAATTGTACTCTGTAGAGTCACAATTAAGGTGCTCAATTTTGTTGAGCGCATTTTAAACATAAAATCGCACAATTTTATCTTACAATTCGGAATTTATAGATACTCGTGATGTTTTGAAAGTTCTCAAATAGTCCCCTTCAAGCTTCCCTGCGCCATCTTGAAAGGTAGCCGTGCCTTTGCATCGAAGCGAGACGAGCGGTGAGCTTGCAATGATATAAACATGTGAATAATTGTCCAAGGTGTTAAAAAAAGGTCTCTAACATTGCATGCTCACCGTTCGTCTCGCTTCACTGCAAAGGCGCGGCTACCTTTCAAGATGGCGCAGGGAACTGTGAAGGGGACTATTGGACTCGCCTAAAAGGCTCGTCCAATTTTGAAAACTTTCAAAACATCACTCGTACCTATAAATTCCGAATTGTACTCGAGATCGTGAGTTTAACCAATACTAATTGGTCGCCGTATTTCGATTCGATGTATTCCCAAGGTAAAGCATTCCAAACAATTATCTCTAACCGAACGGTATCCTATAGTCGACAGTTATCAACATCAATTTGTTTGAAATAACAGAATAGGAATGTTAAGATTTTTGCGCTGACCAATTCGACAGGTGGCTCAAAGACAGCATGAGTTCAAGATCACCCAATCAGAGCTCGAGCAGTTTAATGTGGCTTTACAGAGAGACTACAAACTGATATCTGAAATTGATAAGGTGGCTGAAAGAAGCTACGACAGCCTGGAAGGGACTGAAAGCAGCCTTGAAGAGGCTCTGAGGGTAAGTAGATGCTACCACGGAAATGGTTGAAAAAATGAAAAAGAAAAATGGGAAGTGAACAAAAAATGGGAAAGAAGAATAGGAAGTGCAAAATGGAAAAAAAGATGTACAATAAAATTAGTTTGAAAGTTGATTCAGAATGAAATTTTTATGCTTGTTCTTGCTCATTCCCAGACCCTCACTCGTCACCTCAGCCTATTAAAGATGAGCGGTCCTGGATCGGTTGTCGACATCGCGAACCAACTTATCAATAAGAAAATTTCAATTACTGCGGTAACGAAGCAGCGCGACGAGTTCGTAGAACGTATGGAAGCGATGAAGAATCGCGCGGAAAGGACGAGGCAGGTACTTGAGGGTGAGCTGAACAAACGTCTACAAATGAAGAGAGATCTTGACATCATCAGAACCTGGATAACTAAGATCGAGATACTTATTACAACGAGGATTAATAAGTATGAGGAAATCGACGAACGGGAAATAAAGGTAAATAGTAGTTAATGCATCTGTTGTCGTGCCGTGCCGTGCCGTGCCGTGACGGTGCCTCGTTCCTACATTCTGATTGGTTAAGCAGTAACCTTGGCGCTGGAAGTGTCATGAAAAAACCCTCTTAAAAGATAGAGCTGTAGGTGATGATGAAATTAATGTTGGGTGATGATGGTGATGTTGCTGATGGTGATGGTGATGATGACGGTGATGATGGTGGTGTCGATGTTAGTAATGATGGAGATGTTGGTGTTGATAATGGTGTTGATGGTGGTGTCGATGTTAATCACGGTGGTGATGATGGTTGTGATGGTGATGATGATGGTGATGATAATAATGGTGGTGATGATGATGGTGGTGATGGTGATGATGATGGTGATGATGGCGGTGCTTA